CCGGGAACTTTCGGGGGGGCCCGCGCTGGAGAAAACGGGACGTCGCATGTCGGGGGAGCCACCCGCCCACCCGCGGCCGACGCCCGGCCCCTCATGGGTGGCGAGGGGGGCCCTCGGGCACGACGACGGGCGACGGGCGACCCGAGGAGGAGGAGGAGGAGGAGGAGGAGGAAGAGGAGGAGGAGGACGAAGAAGAGGAGGAGGAGGAGGAGTAGGAGGAGGAGGGGGAGGGGGAGGAGGAGGAGGAGGAGGAGGAGGAGGAGGAGGAGGAGGAGGAGGAGGAGGAGGAGGAGGGTAAGGGTAACGGTAAGGGTACATGCGCCGAAGCGCGGCCGACAGGCCGACGGACGAGTGGTTCTGCTGCGCACTGTCAAACGATCGATGGGGGTGGCCCTCGCCGCCTCGCCCATCTTAAAATAGCTTTCGCTGGACCTTCCTCGTCCATCTGCCTTGGAGGGCACTGGCAAGGGGCTGGCGCCGGGGCCGCCTCAGCAGGCCTCTAGCCCACGAGCTCCGCCTCCTCGGAGACTATGTCGGAGGCGTCGGCAGCCTGGGTGCGGGCCGCCTCGCGGCCGACACGGCGGACCTCCTCGAGGTCGTCCTCCGTGAGCCCGTAGCAGCGGAGCAGGAAGAGACGCGCCGCCCTCGGCTCGGGCCGCCTGCCCTGGGGCCCTGGCGCATCCGCCGGCGTGGCGGGAAGGCGCTCGTCGCCAGCAGCAGCGCGACGCCCGCCGCTCGCTGCCGCGGGCAGGTCCCCTTCCAGCTGGAGGTCGCCTGCGAGCTGCAGCTGCTCCTCGGGCCCTAGGGCAAAGGGCCCCTCGAGCGCTCCACCTTGCCTCCCCTTGCCGTAGTGGGGCCAGCGCAACAGGCGCACCAGCCGTAGCTGCTCTTTGCCTGCGCTGGACTCCCGCCCTCGGCACAAGTTCTTGAGCAGCTTGCCGGGCTTGCGGCCCGCCAAAACCCCGCCGCACCGCAGGCAGAACACGAAGCGCATCTGGGGGTTTTCCGCCACTCGGCAGCGCAGGAGAGCGTGCCCTCTAGCCCTCCACGCGTGCCTGGCCAGGACCTGGTCGTCGAGGCCAAAGTGCAGCTCCACGTGCCCTGGGACGCGTCCCTCCTGGCTTTGGGGACTGGCAGCCGCGCCTCCGGCTGGGCCTGCAGGACCCGTGTCGCCGACCGGCCCGCTGCCCTCGCATGCATTCTCGGGGGGCTGCTCCTTTGCAAGGGCCATCTCCTCGCTGAAGTCGTCGACGCCGAAGCCGAAGGCGTCTGAGCCCTGGGAGGCTGCCCCATGCTTGGTATCAACTGGGGCCGCCGCCGCTTCCGGCGCGAGCGGCACGCCCCACCTGGACGGGCCTGCCACCGCCCCTGGGGCTGGGGCAAAAGGAGTGCCTCCGGCAGCCGAGGGGGGAATGGCATCCCCTGGAGCTGCAGCAGCAGCCGCCACTGCCTCCTCCTTTTCTTCGCCTCTCGCCGCCTCCTCGTCCCCTTGCCCAGGCCGCTCTTCCCGACCAGCCTCTGCCTGGCTCTCCCTGACGGGAGCTTCACGCACGACGTCGCCGTCCGCGGCGGCTGCAGGGGCAGCGCCCTCGCTGAGTTGGGCGTGTCCGTGGAGCACATCCTCATGCCGCGGCCCCCCATCTTGGGCAGGTCCCCCCCCTTTCCCGCCCCCCTTCAGAAGGGGGGGCAGAAATGGTTCAAAAATTGCCCCCATTTTACGTGGGACAGGGGAGCATCGGCATAGCGCCAGCATGAGTAGCAGCCTCGGCAGGCCTCTCATCGCCACGCGACTGGGACACGCTAGCTTGCACTTGGGAGCATGAGTGGGTTAGCTCCCCAGCTCCAGACATTACCGTCATGATATGTGCGTTCTACAACTACTGCTACTGTTTGTTAACGGGCTTTCTTAGTGTGCGTGTAGATAGGGCCGTGAACAGCCCAAAATCGAGCGTCATTTTTTTTGTTTAAATGACGCTGGTTTTTGGCCCAGAATCCCCCCCCATCGGGCCACGGTGGGACGGATTCGCAACCCTGGGGAGTTGCCTCCCCAGTCTAGGTCTCTAACTTTAACTTGAATGCGTTGGGGGCAAAAGTAGGCTGGCCCCCTCCCCTTCTGACCCGCCCTACTTGCAAGCAAGTTTGTATATGGGGGCAGCGAGCAGAATGTCCTTCACACGGGGCCCTCTTGTGAACGGATGGAGAGTACCCAACCGATGAGGACGGGAGGGGGGCCATGTAAATGAGAAATGCCTAGCCGACGACGTGCCCGGTGCGGAAGTACAACGCACTAGGGGTATAAGACAGAGACAGAGAGATCACGACAGAGACGGCGACGAGGAGGCGCAGTCATCCTGCAGGAGAAAATAATCGCACCCCAATGCAAGACGCAACGAACATGTCACGAATTTCGTTGCTCCGAAGTGACGTGCGGCGCTATGCAGCACACTGGTAGCAAATACAACATGCGTGCGGTGCGATGCAACACAGCAAATATGACACACTGGGGCACCATGCAAACAGTGGCAGCAAAACGAAGGATGGGGGAGTTGGTGCGCTGGCGTCACATATAGGTGTACCGGCGGCGGAGTATAGGGGCATCCACCACCTATTTTGCACATGGATGGCGGCCGGGAGGGGACCGAAGCCGCGTCGGCGACGGCGGCGGGGGCCGAACCGAACGACCGAAGGACGAGGAGGTTGGGAGCGAGGCTGTCTGCTATCGCGGGAGTTTCCTCCGGCAGAAAAGTCCGCTTGAATCCCCCGATCCCCCTAATTTCTGGCTAACGCCAATCATGCAGCATTCCTGGCTAACGCCAGTCATGCGGAAGCGGGCCGAATTTCGCCTTGGCCGCCCCGACCCCTTGAACTGGCTGAGGCCTGGTTAGCTCCAGTCACGCAGCAGTCCTGGCTGACGCCAGCCGTGCGGAATCCGGCCACCGTGTAGCCGCCCCGACCCCTCCTGAGTAAGACGCGTTATGCGTTGTTCACCCCGACCCCCCCAGGGGAGTTGATCCCTGGCTAACACCAGTCGTGTATCCGTCCTGGCTTACGCCAGTCGTGTGGACACAGGCCGGACTTTGATCAGCCGCCCATCCCCCCCTGAACTAACGTGACTCTGGCTAACGCCAGCCATGCAGCAGTACTGGCTGACGCCTGTCGTGCGGAGGCAGCCGAACTACGAATCACCCCTCCTCCCCTTGAACTGATTCCTGGCTAACGCCAGTCATGCAGCAATCCTGGCTGACGCCATTCCTGCGAGCGCAAGTCGAATACTGGTTAACCGCCCCTACCCTGCCTGAACTAGCGTGGCTCTGGCTAACGCCAGCCATGCAGCAGTCCTGGCTGACGCCAGTCGTGCGGAGGCAGCCGGACTACGAGTACCCCACATCCCCCCTGAACCGATTCCTGGCTAACGTCAGTCGTGTAGCAGTCCTGGCAAACGCCAGTCCTGCGAGCGCAAGCTGGATTTTGGTTAGCCGCCCCTACCCCACCTGAACTAGCCTGGCCCTGGCTACCACCAGGCATGCAGCAGAGATGGCTGACGCCAGTCGTGCGGAGGCAGCCGAATTACGAGCCCCCCTTACCCCACCCGAACTGAATCCTGGCTAACGCCAGGCGTGCAGTAGCCTTTTGATTAGTCGCCCCGCCCCCCCCCCCTGAACTTGCGCGGCTCTGGCTACCGCCAGGCCTACAGCAGTCCTGGCTGACGCCTGCCGTGCGGAGGCAGCCGAGTTACTAGTCATCCCTTCCCCCCTGAACTGACTCCTGGCTAACGCCAGGCGTGCAGCAGTCCTGGCTAACGCCAGACCTGCGGGCGTCTGCTGAATTAAGCCTTTGTCGCCCCGACCCCCACTCCCTGGCCCTCGTGGTCGGGGTGCTCGTCGGGCCCCTGAAGGGACCCTTAAAGGCTGCCCCGTGCGTCCCCGACCACTTCGAGAACCAAGGAGGCTGGGGGGTCATCGGCACGGGGAGGAGGAGGAGGAGGAGGAGGAGGAGGAGGAGGCGGAGGAGGAGGAGGAGGAGGAGGGCGAAGAAGAGGAGGAGGAGGAGGAGGAGGAGGAGGAGGACATCGCACGTCTGGGGAGCCACCGGCCCACCCTCGTCCTCCTCTTCCCCGGCCGGGACCACCCGCGCAGCCACGCTTCCGGCGTCTGCACTCCCCGCAGGGGTCCAGCTGCCGCGGGCTGGTCACACGGCCCCCCATCGCCTTGCCTTGGTCCTTGTCATCCTACTACTCTTCCCCTCCTCCTCCTCCTCCTCCTTCTCCTCATGATCATCATCATCATCATCATCATCATCATCATCATCATCATCATCATCATCATCATCCTCATCCTCATCCTCATCCTCATCCTCATCCTCATCCTCATCCTCATCCTCATCCTCATCCTCATCCTCATCCTCATCCTCATCCCTCACCCTCACCCTCACCTTCACCCTCACCCTCACCCTCACCTTCACCCTCACCCTCACCCTCCTCCTCCTCCTCCTCCTCCTCCTCCTCCTCCTCCTCCTCCTCCTCCTCCTTATCCTCCTCCTCCTCCTCCTCCTCCGTAGCCATTTTGGCTCAAGGTCCAATGTTCCCCAGGGGACCAAGTGGATACCGCTAGTCCGCGGCTGGCAAGACCCCTGGTGGTCTGGCATTGTTTTGCATCGATCCGCGCTCGTGCGGTCGGGTAAACGGAGGCGTTTCCCGTTCCTGGCCGCCCGATCGCTCAGCCCCTCCGCTCATGGGATTACCGACTGAGGCTGACAATCAACGTCTTGCTGATGAGTTGGAGGCGGCCCCCACGTTCCCTTCACAAGAACGGATGGCTGGCTCAGGCAAGGGGGGCAAAGGTGGTGCGACTAGTGCTGCTTGCTCTCGCCCTGCTGGTCCTCCTCCCACTAAACGGCGCACTCCAGCAAATGGTGATGTCATCGTCGGTGAAGTGGATGAGTGGGATGGAGATGACTATATGCGAGAGTTGTGCAAAGCCGAGCTCCTGCCTCTCATCGAGGAGTGGAAGGCCCATGTCAAAGAAGAGCTTGGCAAGTCTGTCAAGGAGTCCGTGGCCGCTGGCAACAAGACCGTCCTCGAGTTGCTCGAAGCTGTTCGCCAAAGGGTACAGGACAACCAGGCTACCATGGACGAGAAGATCATGTCAGTCGTCAGGCCGCAAGTGGATGATGCATCGCGCCGCCTTCAAGCCCAGCTGGATGAACAACGAACTCTCCTCGGTGATCATGGTCGTCGCATCAATGAGCACGACACAGCGATCGACGCCCTCAACCGTCGCCTGGATGATATGCAGCGAGCATTGGCACTGGCCAATGAGAGGCCACAGCCACCCCCTCGGGTTCCTGCGGGCTTCGACCGCGACCCTGACGGCACGATCGTGGTGGCGATGTCGCAGAAGCACACTACTGTGGCCCACGCACGTGAAACCCTTCAGTCATTTCTCAGTGGGCTGGGCTATGAGGCGTCGGAGTATGAGATCAAAGCTGCGGGGGGCGAACCATCCAAGCGCTTCGTTGTGGCCTTAAAGGGTGCGGTGGCTCCAGCGACGCGCAAGGCGCACACGGTGCTGCAGAACCTCAAGGTGGACAAGCAGTGGTGGGAGTTCACAGTCGGCGTCACAGGCTCGGCTGACTGCAGGCTCTTCCTCGGACCAGACAAAAGTCCGAAACAAGTTAAGACAGAGATGCTACTTCGGCGGTGCCGCTCGGAGATCGCGAATGTGTACCCTCAGGCCAAGCTGTTCACGGACCGTGAGCGAGGATGTCTGCTGGTGGGCTGGGACAAGATTCTCAAAGTGGAGGTTGGTGCGGGACAGGATGAGTCAAAGCTCCATTGGGAGCCCAACCGTATCACGAAGAACAACATGGACATCGAACGACTGCGGGCATGCACCAAATGCTTGGTCGAGCCTGCAGCTGAGGAACAGTGGTGTCTTTAATGTGTGGCATCTATTTCGTCATTGTGCCCCTCGTGATGGGGTGCCTCCACGTTCACTACGATTCGCATCATGGAACTGTCGTTCGCTACTTCAGGCTGGCGGGCAGAAATCCTGCTTGAAAATGCACTACCTCTCGCGCTTGCGCTTGCAGGAGACAGTGGTGGCCCTACAGGAGGTTCGCCAAGATGAGGTCCAACTTCAGTCATATCTACGTGCCATCGACCCTTCCGTGCACGTTGAGTCATCATTCGGGGACTCGCTGATCCGCGGAGGAGTGGCAGTTTTGATTCCACCTTTGCTGTCTTCAGCAAACGGGGAGACTCGTGTTGAGTCGCAGCCTGTGGTGGCAGGCAGGGTCGTTCGAGTTGCTATTCTTGCACCAGAAGCTGAGCTCATCATATATTATATAATGTACACAACCATGAGCTTGATGCTGATACTGTTCGTGACGTCGTTCGTCGAATTCGATACGATCTCTCATGTGCGGAGGAGTTCCCAGACAAAGTATTGGCGATCATACTGGGCGACTTCAACTTTGCGGCGGAGGAGGCGCTCATCCTGGATTCACCTGTGGCCGCGGTGAAGCAGTCAGAGCGGCGCCATCATGGACGTGCTGCGATCTGGAAGCAAGCCTTGGGGGGCATGCTTGAGCTCGAGCACTCGCCCCCGGCGCACTTCGATCGCCATGCGGGCGCGCAGGCGGCGATTGACCGCATCTTCTGCTCCCTCGCCAGCTGGCAGGCCTGCCAGCTGTTTGTGATGGCGACGACGCTGGGCGCTCCTGCATGCGTGTCTGATAAAGGGATTTCGGATCATGCTGCTATTATTGTTTCTCTGACCCCACGCAGTGCACGATTGCCAGAGACTAGGTGTGTGCCCAAGCATGTGCGTCAGGACCCGTGGTTCCAGAAGAGGTTGGCGGGGCTCGTGTCGGACTCTAAGTGGGATCCCTCGTCGCCCCCGTTCCAGCTGGAGCACTTTAAGGGCCTCGTGAAGATCGCTGGGAGAGAAACCAGAGACCATATGTTGAAGACCCTCCCCGAGCACCCCAAGACCCTCCTCTTGCTCTCCAGGACGATTGCGCGTGTGATCTGGCGTCAGGACTGGCAACTGGCTTCTCGCATCTTAGCGTCGCATAGCTTGGCATCTGCACATATGCGGGTGGATGGGCATGCTGTGGCACTACTTCATCCTCCGTTGTTCCAGCAATGGTGTGCGCAGGTACAGCGGGATGCTGCTGACCTGGAGCGGTCTGCGTTATCCTCGTCTGCCTCGGCATCGACTCCTGGGGCTTCCTCGCGATCGACTCGAATGCAGCTCAGAGCTCTAGAGAGAAAAGCTCGGTTGTGGTCTCCCATTGGTCGTCGACTTGCTCTGACATGTGTGCGTGAGTCTCCTGGTCATGTTGTCTCGGGCCCCCAGGAGACATTGAGAGTTCTAGGTCAATACTGGGGCCCTGTATGTGCTAAGAAATCTTGGGATCAAAATACTGCGTGCACTTATATTCGGCAGTGGCTCCCGCCAGTCGGGGATGTTCATCTTCCTCCGCCTACCCCTCGTCTTCTGCGACGTGCCCTGAGATCGGTGCAAGACTCTGCTCCTGGGATCGATGGGGTGCCGTATGCTGCTTGGTCAGCTGAACCGATGGGTGCCAAAATCTCGTGGAATGCTTTCGAATGGATGTGCGATGGGCAGGCGCTATTCGACAGTGCTAGTGCTACGATACAGGCCTTTCTACCCAAAGAGATCGCCGATGCCGAGCTGCGTGATGGGTCATGCACGCGGAGCCCAGAGAAGGTGCGGGTACTTGGCCTGCGGAACACAGATATTAAAATTATGTCGTCGGTGATGAACTATGCTGTGCGTCCTATACTTGAGGTGGCTGTGCCAAGCTGTCAGCGTGGGTTTATCCCTGGACGTAACTTCGGGGTCAATGTGCTGGAGCTCGATGTGCATGCACGTTGTCAATCGGTTGCCCCGTCCGGCTCCCTGGATTACCCAGTTTTGTTTTCCCTGGATTTCGGCCAGGCGTTCCCCTCTCTCAACCAGGACTTCCTGATGTTCGTGCTCTCCTGCCTCGGCCTCCCTGACGTTCCCCTCACCTTTATTGCGCGTCTGTATGAAGCCATTGAGGGCGTGGCTTCGTTGAAGGGTGAGTTCGTTAGGTTGTTCTGGATTCGGAGTGGTATTGTGCAGGGTGACGCTTTATCGGGCTCGCTTTATGCTCTTGGGACAGCAGCCTTTTTTGTGTGATCTGGCTACCTGTATTGATGGGGACATGAGGGGACTTATAAGGGCGTGTGCTGATGATATAGGTGGGGCCCTCTCGGCAATTCGACATCTAGTTCACGTGTATCGTGTTATGTCACTGGCCGAGACACTAGCGAATCTTCAGCTGAAAGTTGCCAAATGTAAGGTGGTTCCGTTGTCTGGTCGGTTTGATGTCTCTCTCCAGGGCCATGTCAAAGATGCTATCGCTCATGTCGTTCCTCGGTGGGCCTCGTTCGATGTTGTTCCTGAGCTCCTGTACCTTGGCCTCTGGTTGGGCCCCGCTGCGGACTCGAGAAGATGCTGGATTGACTCCATAGCCAAGCTTCGTCTTCGTGCCCTTGCTATTGCTCATGGAGTTACCCCGGCTAGTATCTCGGCGATCCTATATAACCAACGTGCAGTGTCCACTTTATCGTACATATCGCAGTTCTGCTGGCCTCCGCCGCCGTTGTTACGGCTCGAGCTGTCCGTCTTGGCACGGGTCTTCCGTGTTCCCTTGGGCGCGTTCACACTCAACAGCTGGACTCAACTTGAGAAGTGGGGTTGCCCTCGTGTGCTCAGGTGGGGACATCTCAATACTGCGTCATTGGTCCGATCAGCACTATTGACCTTTCCGCAACATACGGAGATTTTGTCTCGACTGCGGGCGCATGTGGAGGCACACCCGATGTGGCACTCCCTAGATATGCTTGGCACGGGACGTCTCTATCCTGGTTTCTGGAAAGCCCCTGCCTTTGTGGAGACCCTGGCTGATGTCGCGAGTGGCGTGGCTCATGGACCCCGCGAATGTCGGATGGTGGCTCGTGCGCTTCCCGTGGCACGTGATGCCCTGATCCCGCAAATGGGCAAACGGCCGCGACCGCAGCGTGCTGCCCATCGTGCTCTTCGCGAAGCTGATGAAGTGGAGGCTCCTCTTGTGTCGCTGCTGAGGAAGCGTCTCGGCAAGCTCCTACCGCGGCATGCGGGTGCACTTGATGCCATCCAGTGGGACCCAATCCAGGCGGTCCTCACCTCCTGTCCGTTCTCGTGGGCATGGGCTGCGATGAGGACATGGACGGATGCGTGGCTCACATCGAGTCGGATACTGCATCCCTTTGGACGACGCTGCTGCGCTTTTGGGTGTGTGGGTGCGTCGGATGCTCTTCGGCGCTATGCTTATTGCCGCCCACTTCACGTGGCTGTTCGTCGTGCTCTAGCTCGCCCTTTCCCTCTACCAGTTCTGGAACGCTGGGGGCTGTGCCCGCCGACAGTCGAAGCAATGGCATACTTGGCGGTCGTGTATGCTGCTTACAATGAGGCGCGGCTCATCCCTGCTTGGCCTATCTCGCCTGCCCAATTGCATTCTTGTGCCTTGGCAGGTGTTCGGTCTATGACTATGGCAGCGCCACAACGTCTCCCCAATGGTGTGCGTGCGGGCCAAGTACCGCTGGACTTTCAACATCGTCGGCGGCCTAGCTCTACTTCTTCTTCGTCGTCGTCTTCCTCATCGTCATCTTCTTTGGTGGAGGCTGTGGGTGGCGGGCTTGGTCTTTCTGTTCGTCAGCGCCCCGGTCACCCTGACAGCCCGCGGCTGACGCCGGTGGTCTCTTCTGCGTCGCCACCCCCTCGATCGAGAGCGGCGTCGGATGCATCGGAGGACTTCGTCATGCTTGACCTGCGACCTGACGTCTTGGTGGTTGGAACATCCTGCCCTGGAGCGGACGCCGTTTCGCCCTCCCCTGCGACACCTGCGACGCTTCTCGCGACACCCAAGCGTGTGGGTCGTCTCGCGGACTTGGATGACCTCTGTGATGATCAAGGCCCTGGAGCTGGTCCTGAGACTTCTCGAGCTGGTAGAGATATGGGCGTGGCTGCCCTTTCGGATGATGTTCTCGGTGGCGGTCACTTGGTGGCCCAAGACACTGGGTGCTCCTCGAGCCCAGTGCTGGGTGGCGTTAGAACGCTCTGCCCTTCTCGCGGCCGCGGGTCTGGCATCCTCTCGCAGATGGAACTGGCTCGGTCGTGTGGTGTCAGATCGCAAAATCCTGACGGGGAGGGCTCCTCGACCTCTCCGCCTCAGGTTCATGGAGTAGATTGTGAGAACGAGTCTCTAGCTGGCGTCAGTTCGCAAAATCCTGGGGGTGGGTGCGCCTCGAGCCCGCTTGCCCAGGTTCACCGAGTATATTGCGAGCCTGAAGTCTCTACTGGAGTAAGTTGTGAGCCTGGAGTCTCGAGCGGACTATCGTCTGACTCTGCTTGGGTGAGCTCGAGTGGGAGAATTGCGCCTTGTGGGACAGTTGCGTGGACGTCGCTTGAGCCCTCTCCGCCGATGTCGTGCCCGCAGTCGATGACGCTGACAGCTCCAAGGATGCAGGCTGAGTCCTGCCAGCGGCCTCTCTCCCCCGCTTCCTTGCCCTCCCACACGGCTGCCGCTCACTCCCGCATCGTGTGCGTCCCAGCTGATGGGCGCCCTCGCACCTTCTCCACTCTGTCCGTCCCTCTGAGCTCTGCCGGTGCTGGTGCGTGCCTCTCGCCCACTTCTCCTCCCTCCATCGTGCGACGTCGCTGCATCCTGGCGACTGTCCCAGTCATGCGCTCTGGCTCGCCTGGCCACTCCATCCATGTGCTATCAGCGCCTGTCACCGCTGTCGCTCATCACCGCTCGTCCCCGTCTGACTCGTCCCTTGTGCGCTCCC